AACCACAATGGTTTAAGGTTGTTCAAGTAAAATACTATATGTTTGTTTTGGTTAGACTGAGAGAGACAAGCTTTTCAAGCACACAAATCCTTCTTTAAAGCCCCAAACTTTGCATTTCCGTAGCCATCAAAATCCAAGAATCATGCACGTACATGTCACTGAATGCCATCAGAATCCATCCTCATGGAAGGCAGCACACACAGCCATTCCATGCCACAGCAAACTCACAGCTGACCTGTTGTCAGTGAGAGAGTGCTCTTGACCTTCTTCCCCACATGGTTTCTGATCTCATCCTTGAAGAAATACAGTAAAGAAATGGAGGAGATGAGCTGGGGAACTTGAATTCTTACCTCCAGTAGCCACTGTCTCAGTAAAGACAATAGTTCTATAGCATGTTATCTTGTGCTTCACCTCAGCTCACCACTCCATGTTATGGATTATTACCTGTGTGTTTCTCTCTCTGTCCCACAGGGGCAAACGACCTTATCACCTCTTCCTTTGCTAACAACCCCCTCTGCTCCACAGGTACCAACCACCCTTTTACCTTTAATTGATTACCTTTAAGCTAAATTTGAACAATTACTTTCAAGCTGCGCACAGTCTGCTGCTGCAGAAGGGCTTGTGTGTTTGAAAGCTGCACTGTTTTTTCCAGCTTAACCAGTTGGTCTGCTAAAGGATGACTGCCTCTTCCTGTGACCCTGCCCCTCTTAAGGGTCCCTGTGACCCACTGCAGTGCTACAGACCCGTTTGCTCAGTCTTTGCTCCCTCAGCAAGCTTTACAGATAGAGCTAATTATCTGGGTAGCCAAAACACGAAGTGCTACCCCAGTGCTGCTGCAGATGCTAATAGGAAACCCACAGCCATCCTTTCACTGTGAGCACGCCGTTAAAGTGCAACTTGTTTTCTTTCCTGAAGGTCCATGTAAATTTGCTTCTGGTAGAAGCTCGGATGCAAGCCGAACTACTTTATGCTCTGAGAGCTATTACTCGCTATATGACCTGATGTCTCTGGCTGCCTGTTGATGTTGGAATGTTCTGCAGCTGCAGCGTGGCAGAGGAAGATACGAAGCCTCAGGACCAATGGTAGCTCTAAGTTACGATGCCCATTGTGCCATAACTCCTTTAGTTTCAGCTATTTCCGTGTTTGGAATATCACTGCTGCTGCTCGGCAGTGAATGCTTGGCAGTTGAAAAAACAGGGGTGTGTGGCAGTGCTGCCTGCTCCTGGTATTTTGGCTTTAGACAGCACGGGACTCCCTGTGAACTTGTGGCAATATAGCAAACAATAGATGCATAGATCTTGTGTTAAGGCAAATCCTATGGGAGTTGGAGCGTGAACAGAAGTGGGACTTGATGACATTTGCTTTCGCTACAAGAATAATTTTAGAAAAATCTTGATGCTGCTATTTGTGCTGGTGAAGTGAACAGCCCAGGGCTGTTCCAGTTAAGCTACAAGTGAAAGTGAGCACTGCTATTGTCTGAGCCTTCGTTGTGTGTGGTTTCGAAAAGCCTTGTTATTTAGATTTCTTCTTTAATCAGAATGAAACCTCTTCTGTCCACACTGATCATTTGAAAGATAGCAGTCGGTTTTCTCAAATAGTTTAGCCTTAAAATGCTAAGGGACAGTTGTCCAGCATAGTGTGGTGAGCTCCAAAGTGCAATGGGCTTCCTATGGGAAGCAGGGGACTTGCTTCCTCAGAGCTCTCTAGAGATGGAACTGCGCAGTGTTGAGTGGCTCCTCGTCCTGTTTGTCAAGGATGAACCAAGGAGGAGCTAGGACAGGTGTGGGAATGTGTTCTAGACTGCCAAACAGTCCTACTGTATTACGTGCCCAACGCTGGTCTTACTGATTTTTGCAGTTGCTTAAATAACTAGGCTAAACCCATCTATTTTTAGCAAATCAAAACATGATTACAGTGCTGACGTTTAATACACAGTGGGTTTGGAGAACACATGAATACTTTTGTATGAGTGTGAATTGCTTTTTAAATTTGTCAGTATTACTGGTATTTTTTAAATAAAGGTAACAACTTTTTCTCTTGGCGTTTCTGTGTGGTTGAACTTTGCGCTTCTGTTCTCTCTGGTGTACTTAGAAATGGTTCAAAGACTATTGTAAACTGTTGGTAACTGAGCAAACATACTTAAAATGACAAAAGATTTTTTCCAATTGAGTCAGAAATGATGGGAGAAGACACAGTTTAAAAAAAAAAAAACATAGTTTCGGTGAAGATCTAAGTCTATAGTGTAGTGTTTTCATGCTTCCCATAGTCCTCCACCCTCTGTTGAGGAATACTCTGTCATACTGGCTTTTACTTTCCTCCCAGGTAATGGGCAGAGATTATGTTTATATAGTCACCTATTTTCAGTAACCAGCTCTAAATATTGTTTTAAGAGTTAAACTGATTTTAAAATCCTCTTCTATTGAATTTAGCGCCAGCTTTGGCTGCTGATTTCCATAGCCTGGTGCCAGAAGGGCATCTGCCATTGGAAGGATGACCAGGTCTGCACAGCCAGACTGAGGAAGTTACAGCAAGAGGTAACAGGCAGCCGGAGGGGGATCTGCCACAAGTGAGTGACAAACCCTTCTGGACACACTCCTGCTGCTGGCTGTGCTGGGGGTTACCCTGCAAGTGTAGAAACCCCACCTGCTTACAGGAAGAAAGAAGCCTTATCCATAGGGCAGGAAAGAAACAGATTTTCCCAAGTCCACCAGTAGAAGTAAATTAAGATTTCTGTCCCTTGGCCTGGTTCTCAGTTAGCTCAGACTGGTTTCTGTGACTACAGAACATTCTGAGAACAGTTCTAAGTTTACAGTCCAAGAAGCTAAAATATCTAAAAAGATCTAGGGGAGAAAGATTAATAAACTGTCAAAAAATGTGACTAACAGGAAGCATCTGCTGTTTCCTCTTAACTAAAAATACAGGATTTTTAATGTTCCAAAGCCAGAGCAAAACTTTCCTGTGTAAGGCCACAGCATAAAGTTAAGCTGTGCCTAAGGACACAGAAGTGTCTTTCCAGACTGTAAATGGAATTTCTGCAGCACTTGATTCTCCGGTTGCTTTTTGGGAGTGATCAAAGGTAGACAGGAAGTTTTCTGAGAAGACTGAACTGGCTGTTTCTGTCCCGTGCTCCCCAGGCAGCTGCAGGTACCTGCAGACACACTCTCCCTTCTCAAGCAGCAAACACTGCAGTGTGTGTGTGCCAGTGGCTTCATACGGTCACATTTTCGACCAAAACAGTAACCACAACCGCAGCCAACCCTAACTACACACCATGCTACTTACTTTGGAGAAGGGGCCTGAAGATGGTCAGGCACTTTCCATGCTGAGGCTTTTGTGGTGCTAAGCAGAAGAGACCAAGCCAAAGCTGTTATGTACAGTGGCAACCGAAGACAGTGGGTTTAGTCTTTAAACAAGAAAGGGTTGAGTTGCTGGATGCTTCATGAATGGCGATCACTGGAGAAAGCAGCAGCTGTGTACGACAGCAGGGCAGGAGGGAGAGGCCACAGTCCTGCCTTGGCCACTGCTGTGAGATGCCCTCGCTTGCAGGCTGTAAGCCCTGATGACTACCAAGCAGCTCTGGCAGAGCTGCTGCACCACTCCCAAAACCAGGACCATGAAATCTCCCCTCCCCTATCCCACCAACAGCAAAGAAGTCCCTGAGAATGTAGGAGGAGGGCCCTAAACTAGGAAGAAAGTTTCTGCGCCCTTCTACTACAGCTCTGCTTCCCAGCCTCCTCGCTTCATCTCCTCACCTGGAAGCAGAGGTCCAGGCAATGCCAAAAGTACAGCTCCAAATCGCTGCCTCGAACCAATTCCTTTAGCCTCTCTGTGGGGATTGCCGGGGGAAGACTTGCTCTCCTGATGCACACACAGCACAGGACAAGGCTGCTGACCCTCAGGATGAGAGCCAGGAGCCCAGCAGCCCCTGCGCAGTGGTTTATTCTTAGTGATCTGAGATCAGAAAAGAGGCAAATGGGTCAGGTCTGTGAAGCTTTCTGTAGCCAGTCAGACTGTTAAAGCTTGAGGCCAGTGATGCAATACCCATGAGCGATGAGCAGGGACTTCTACACTCTGAAAGGATGAAAACTGAGCAATAAGACAGCATCAGTCAGAAGGAACGTGAAGGATACAAAGCCTTTTTGTGCCCTGTGGATGGAGATATGAGCCCAGGGGAGATGGCTGGCCAAGACAATCTGAGCAGTACAGGCACACAGGCAGCTCCTGGGAATGTGGGAACAGCTAACAACCCACCAGACTACCTAAAATCTCCTTACATCAGGGATAGGTGTGTTTTGCCTTAACACTTGAAGTACCAAGTCAGAAAAGCCTCTTTCTTTCCAGCCCAGCTGGACCTACATCCCACAAGCACCAAGGCAGGAGCTAGGATACCCAAGCCACACGTATGAGGTAGAGAAAGGGGGATTTGCAAAGGAAAGGGAAGCAGCTTTTCCCCTGGCCATGGGCAGCCCTTGATCTCAAGCGTGAAGCTCAGGATATAAAAGCATAAAGCCCCAGCAGCATTTGGGTTACTCCTGCTGGAGAATTTCATAGAAAGTAAAAGAAGTGTGTCAAAGCCTGTAGGCAAGACGTGATTCCAATCACGTAACATGCTTTCATAGTACACAGCATTTTTGGTACCACAGAGGCCCACTGGTCCCACTCAGTGGTAATTTACCTTTCAAAAACAAAAAGTTCAGCAAATAGTTTTGTTTCATTTTCCCAGCCAAGCAACTACGCAGTTAATAGACAAATCACATTGAACAGCTGCTTCAGCAGCTCAAATAACTTGTAAAAAGTACTAACACATGCAAAAAATTTGATGCAAGCTTCTCAAAAGGAAGGATCCAGTATATGAATGCCAGGCTTTACTGACTTCTTAAAAATTCAATTGCCACGCTGTCCAACACGCTTACCAATGGCAACGTACAGCTATATTAGAAATATAAAGCTGGTCAATCTATAGCACCAAAAAAATATGAGTGATTAAAATGGAGTAATAGTCACAGCTGGAAGAAGTGATGGTTTTGAATTCTCTCAAGAAGTTTTTCTGCCACAGGCTTGAACTCCCTTTCCCAATATAGCTTGTGGTAGTCCCGTACATCTCTGTCGAGGCTGTAATCCAGCGCTGGTTCTGCATCTGTAATCAAAGAAAATATCATCAGTTCTGAATAAAAATATACCCAACTATGTATTTTGTGACCACAGCACATACAACTTAGTGGCTGTGTCCGTTGGTGGATTGAAGACAACTCCATGTTGAAGATGAACTAAGCATCACTATCTGAGGGACTTCAATTTAACTAAAATAAAGGATGTTAAGGTCAGTAAAATGGTAAAAAGGAGACTGCAGGTTCTTTTTATTCTCACACCTCACAGGTGTAGCTAAACCGTATCCCCAAGATCAAGCATTTACTGTGACTGTCAGCAATTTTGCTAATGCAAGCAATCAATTCACCTGACTACAACTATGTTTTTCTTGTCACAAATTGCTCTGCTAATCTGGTTCATTAAGACTTTCAAATTGTATTTACTATCATACCTAAAGAATTTGAACCACACTAGTTACTCTATCACTGATGCCCTCTCTTCCTCATAAACTTCGTAATTAAAACAGTAGGATACTCTTAAGAGATAAGCCATGTTAGGAACAACAGGAAGTCATCACTCGTTACTCCACCTCCATTTCACCTGGCATTGCATGAAGCACAGAAACAAACCCTTACTGAAGAGAAGAAACCAGTCTGCAACCCGGAGCATGCTCCTGACTGATAGTGCTGAACAAATGTTTTCATACAGTTTAGGAGAAGGTGATTTGACAGCCTTTAGGCCATAAATGTATCTAAAATGAAGATACAACCCTGCACCCAGTGGGCGGTGTGACTTAACGATTATCCTAGACTGTGAATCTTTTCAATAAGTAATGCTGTAAGGAGCTCACCACACACTGACAGCAGGTAAGAAACAACTCTGAACTGAAGACAACTTGGAGCTGAAGTTTCCCACATTTTGAGTCAAACTTTGTGTAAAGACAGATGCTCAAACAGCAGCTATCCCCATTTAAATGAATGCCAAAGTGCCTATGCAGAGCATATGGCCTGAGCTGCCACAGCTATGAAGGAAGAGACGATGTTAGTTTGGCATAGAGATGAACTCTATTCCACACACAGTTACCAGTAACTGCAAACAATACTTGACTTCCATGCCACTACAGTGTTTCTAAATGAACAAAATTAATGAGATGCTGATTGTGAGGTAGATTCCAAAAGGGGTTCTGCATAAGGAGAAGATGCCATTTAGAGGATTTCTGTAATAAAGAGGGGAAAAAAAAAAGTATTTCAAGAAGGAAGAAATGTCATGTCTTCGCAGGAAGAAACCCTGTAATCAGAGATAAAATCCAGCCTCAGATATCAGATCTGTATTTGATGTATCATAGGTCCTGTCCAACCCAAATTATCCTCTAGAGCAGAGCCACCATAGATCAGATTGCTCTGGTCCATGTTCTGTTGAGTAATGAATATCTCTGAGGATGAAGATTCCACAGCCTTTCTGGGCAGCCTGTAGCAGTGCTTGGCCCCTGCCATGGTAGAAACTTATTTTCCTAATATTTAATTGGAATTTTTCCTATTGCAACTTGTGCTCCATTACCTCTTGTCCCATTTAAAGGCACAGCAGCCCAACATACCTAAAATGAATCTCAGCAGCAGAGAAGCGACAGACACTGAAGGGGAAGACAAAGGATTATGGGTTTTGTTTTCAGGGAGAATTGCTTTGCCTACTCCTGAAATGGTTGTTCCAGCCAAATTAACTATCTTCTAACATGGAGCAAAAGACATTACTCTCTTTTATTATACAGCTGTGCCCCCCAGAAGTTGATTGAATGTTTATGGAATCACTGAGGTCAGGAATTCTAGTCTACAAGAACAAGGGTCAGAACCAGTTCAAAAGCTGAAGTGTGGAACCAAAACAGTAAATTTCCCAAAGCAGAATGAAAGTAAGACAGGATCAGCAATGCTCAGTGTCCCACATGTAAGCTGTGCATCCTCAGATAATTTAATTTTGCCATGAACCTCCTCAAAACTAGCAAAATTGGGTACTGGCCAAACAGCGTATGAACTGGCTGCGAGCCCAGGAGCAAGACAAGTATGCGGGGTCTGCAAGCTATGAGGGAAGCTCAAAACTAGACTGCCCGCAAGGGCCACCCATCCCTACAACTCTGGTAAGACAGGGGCCAGGAAGCCCTGGAAGCTGGTATCCTACCATATAAGAGTTTATGTGTACTGAGATTCCAAAATAACCTCCTCAAATTGATAGTGGAGGTAAAGGTGAACAGAAGAAAGGTCTGGAAAAAAGAGAGGGAGAAAGGAGATTTCACTGAACAACCAAAGAGAATAATGTTCTCAAGACAGAGGCTCATCTCCACTGCTGCTCCTGAGGGACAGGGGCAAAGCAAAGCTGCTGCCAGGGGCCTGGAAACACCAGCCTGCAGCTGTGAAACTCAAGGGCAGCTGAAAGAAGGCAAATGATAGTGCCACTGGAAAGCAGTGCCACTGCATCTCAGCTGCTGGGACCAGGCAGGGAAAAAGAAAACCAAAGGGTGCCTGTTGTCCAACCTTTCTTGGGCTCAAGATCTTTTGAAGCTATTTCACTGCCCTTTGGCTCCCTCATATCTTTTATCATCTTGTGCCAGGTAGGGGAAAGAAAAACAAAGGGGAGGAGGCCAAGCACAGCAGGTGAAGTGAGATGTCTGCTGTGCCATGCTCCACTTTTCCATTTCCTGAGGGCGTGCGGATGCTTAAGTACAGTCCACTGACTGTCAGCAGTTGCCTCCTGCTTCCTGAATGATAGAATCAGAGCAAAGATAGTTCAAGGCTGTTACTGGATACAATGGGAGGAGGAAGATGTAGGGCAATATTAACCAGCTGCTATTACTAAAATTCCTTGGCTCTTAACACAGAGAAGAACCAGATCCAGTAAGATGCACTTTTTCTACAGCTACCCTTCTGAGCACAGTGCGAAGACAGACTTGCCTTCTCATTTAATTCTGACCTACTTTTAATTAATTGTCATTACAGTTGCCTTACAATTGCAACTGCAATTGCGATTGTACATGAACTTCCAGTTCACTAAAGCTGTACCAGTTAATGAGAATTCCAATTACTACCCAGCCTGGATTCTGCAATCAAATTAAGTGCTGGAATAAGCAGTGTTAAATGCAGAGACAAAAATAGGTAAGAATTTTCCTGGACAACAACATATATTTCTTGCTGCATGCCAGAAAATTCAAGCACGGTTGTGGCTGCAAAGTGTGCAGTTCTGTTTCAGCATGTGAAAAAGTGCACTAATGATATTGAAAGACTATGTATTTTCAGAGAAATAAATGGAATTGCTGCTCACATTAAGGTATGTTCTATCAAAGCAAGGAATGTAATGCAAGGAAAGATTACAAGAAGAATAACAGTAATTCTGCTGTAACTGGAAAAAAGCCTTACAAATCCACCCACTTTTCTGATTGTCTAAAACCAAACCAGACCAGTGGGTTTCACTTTCTGTCTGGGTCTGACTAACACACAGCCTTCTCCACAGCAAGCATACATATATCTTCATTAAATTTCCAATTAAAACCAAATCAAAATTAGTTAAGGTTTGCTTCAGTTTCATTTACATTTTAAAGATCTGTTCTAAAAGATAATTGCAACTGACCTACCCAAAATAAAATCATATCCAAAGCAGTACTCATAAAATAAAGGAGGAAAAAAGCATACAGTGACTATATAGAACTATTACATAGGAATTAAACTCTGTAAAATTTGAAGCAAACACAAATGTGCAGATGAAAAGATCCAAGTGGGTAAGCAAATCAGGGTCTTAACATTCACTTGTTGGCACCTTCCAGCTTGTGTCTGTAGAGAGGCACAGCCTTTAGGGAGCAGATGAGAAATTCTCAGGATGTTGTCCTTGCCCACAAGGAGATCATGATGGGACAAAGAGAGCGGCCAAGGGACTCTCATCACTATCAGCAAGCTCAGCCCATTGCACCACACAGCCCTTAGACTGAGAGGAAAAGCCATATTCCCTGTGCGTGCTGTGCAGTAACCAGGTGCATCACAGCTGAGCCCCTGCTTCTGTCAATACCTGCAGTGCTTTGAGGCCAGAAGGGCCCACATCCAGTGAAAAGTATGTTTTGCACTGCAGGTCTATGGGATAGTTGGCTCAAGCAAGCAAAAAGGCAGGTGGTGACAAGCATTAGCGGTATGCTAACTAGACAAACTAGAGTGGGGAGTGACAGCAGCCAATTCCACCTTGGCAATCCATAAGATCTGGGAGAATGTGCTGAATGGCAATGAACCAGTGTACTGCTGGATAGTCTACACCAGCCAACCACTTAAAGCTGCATGACAGACTTCCCACCCAAACGAATACTGCCTTGATTTTGCTCTATTTCCTTTATTAAGGAAAAGAGACCATAAGGAAAATGAATCTCACCCAAGAGTGATGAGAGCAGCAACAGCAACGTCTCGGTATCTTCTCCAAAGCATGAGGCCGGACTTGTGACGTTTTCACTGTAGTTCCACAGGGTTTTGCATATCAAACAAGCCAGCTGCCAGTCTGATGGCCCAAAGTCTTGTAAACAGTCAATTAACCTGTTGGTATTAAAAAAAACCCTCAGTGTTTTGCTCCATGTAGTTTTCTTATAAACCCTTCAAAATCTGGTAGTCTAGAAATGTGTGCATTAAAGTCTGCAGGAAAATTCTGTATTAATAAACTTAAGATGCTACTTTCCTCCTCAGTAACTTCTCCTTTCCAGTTAGTCTAGTTCCCTAAGGATGTGAACGCACCTTTTGACTACACATATGTGCATTTGCCTGCCTGCATCTTTCTATCCCTGAGAACTTTTTAACCCAACTGACCAATTTCAATTACACACATCACAAATGTAACCATCTCCAAGACACTAAAATTCCATCAAATTTCATGACAGTCTGTAACTGTCTCAAATCGGTGGCTACCAGTAGAGCAGAGACTGCAATGCGAGCCAAACCTCATCAGGCACCAAGAATACATCTGCAACAGATAGTACGAATGCAAAAAAAGCTTTGGCCAGAATACCCAGCTTGTTACGCATCAGATGATCTGACCAGAAGACAAATCTAAACGAATTTACTACTTCCATGACTCACAGAATTACCTTTAACATTCAGTGAAGCCTGACTGTTCTACAGATCTTGCCCCCTCTTGTATTTCCTCAGCCTGTGCTCCCAATGGACTCCTCAGAAATGCCAGTTTTATTAAGGACCATTAGGTTCTTGACCTTTCTCCCAGTCTCATTTCCTTGCAAGTACCAAATGCAGGCTGGATCATAAGCAGGATTCTGAGATTAAGCTATAACTTTTCTGCCTGCACCAGCTATCCAGAATTCCCATTACCAAACAGCAGTGTTCACAAGTCCCGGGGCAGCAGAAGTAAATGTTGTTCTTCGCCTGCTGTCCCTAGTGACCTCTCATAACAGTAACCCTTCACTGCTGCTCTTTTCCCCAACCCTATGACATTCTCTTTCCCCTCAGTTCTCTACTTCACTGTGAGATTTATAATCTGGTGATTAGTAAAGGGAACATGGGATAACTATTAAATTCGGGTATGGCTGAAAATAGCAGTAATTGAAAAGCAACCAAAAGAGGTTTGCTCTTTCTCTCCTCTCTGAAGGCAGTCACTGTGGAAGAGCACGAGGCACACAAGGAAAAGCCAAATGAATTAGCCCTATTTTTTTTTAAGTTTAACTCTCTGATGAGACTAATTCCATGTTTTATTAAGGCCAGTGTATATTACCACAATAATCTAATTTCCAAAAATCCACAGAGCCAGTTTGGCATAGTCAGGATGACCTCCCTAACAATCACTTCCAAATTCTCTAAATTTATTCCATAATGTTACTTTTTTCCCTTTCCTTCTTCACAAATCTTCAGAGAGAGTATAGAAAATTCTATATTCTACAGAATATAAATTTCTCACATTTATTATTCAATTTGCCTCTAACATTTTTATTCTTCTTTTTCAGCTTTATATTTGGTAAAGTAACTAGAACATGGGAAGGAAGGATGAGCATACTATGCGCAGTTTACATTTTATTAAAAAGTAATTATATAATGTATGAACAGGAAAGCATTTCAAAGATAGGCACACGGTTGCATAAATATAAGTTGTATCAACTGCTTTACAGGCACAGCAACATGATCTTTCACGTTGCTCCAATTAAGCTGGATCCACTATTATCTGAACATCAAAGCCACAAGTGTTGCATCCATGGTGGTTTTTCAAGATCTAATACCTCTTATAATACAAATACCTTAAACTTGAGTTATTCTCTGCTGATCATGGCTACACATCAAAAACAATACTAAGTAGTTACAAAAATTGCAAGAGACCATGTTGGATATCTTAGAGGCTGAAGTAATCTTCATGCTTACAACAGATACACATTAATGGTGCCTATTAACTGTAGCCCACACAGGATCCAGTTAAGTCAAGCATGAGCCATGCCTTAGTTGCTTTGTTGTATGGTAGTCTCCTCTGCTGTATCAATCAGAAGGATTGTTGGGAGATTATTCTATGGGTTTTGGCTCTGCAGTAGGCTAAACCACTCTAACGCTTTTGCAAAAAAACATAGAAAAAAAGATGAAAGGCTCCTGAAGAATATTACATGCTGACTATCTGTTTAGTATATATCCTCACTAGAAGTTATTTGCCCCAGTAAAAAAAGAATCTGATTGAAACTCTTTGGCCAAACTACTCAAAATTGCCTTTTTCATAAATGTAATCAGGAACTTACTTTCCAATTCCTCCTTCCTCCGTCAGAAATGCTCGTTTGTTCTTATCTACTGTGAGATTGAGCAGAACTCCACAGGCAGAAAAACAGACATCTTGGTTTTTGGCATCAAGCAAAGCAATCATGAACTTGTGTACTGGATTGTAAAGGAGGAGACAATATTACTGGAAAGATGGACTTACGTTACAAGTGGCATTACAACATCCTTATTAAACATGTTTACTTAGAAAGCAGTCAAATGCAGGGTACCCTACCCAAAAATTTAACCTTGTAGCATATTTCTGTGACATTTGTGGAGTAGGCGCATGACCCAGCGTAACAGCCATGATTATTACATCATGCTGAACACCAGTTTTCTTCAATACAACATATACAAAGTCATAGTTATAAAAATACACTGACATAATGTGAAAATCCAATCAGAAGAGGTTAAATTGACAAAATTGAATTACAGCTTATTTCTTAAAAGTATCACCCTCCTTTCCACTGCAGTCAGCAGAAACTGCTAGGGTTTGGCATTTGGTACTCAGAAAGGGACATTCTCACCTCTTGTGAGCAGCCCTACACTGCCCCAAGCCCAGCTAGAACTGCTGCAGCCTGGAGCTCCTGAAGGAGACAGGCAAGAAGTAGGCACTGGGCATGCAGCATCCTGCAGCACTTGCTGATAGGCAGTGGAAGGCAACCCCAACGAGGGAGTCAGTCTTAGGCAGCCTCTCAGCTCTTCCTTAGCTTGGCACATTGACACCATAGTCCCTTCTAGTTGGAAAATTTAGTTCTTTGACTGAGACAGCTCATCAGCAACCAGCTACTGTCAGTTTGTCCTTTACAGATACCTTCTCCTCCAAAGTCAGTAATACGTCCACCCTCCAAAGAAGGGGGTTGTGTATTGTGGCATTTCACCTCAATTTCAGCACTGACAGGTAGGTAGATACAAAAAAATTTACACTGAACTGGTGTTTAATTAAACTTATGACACACCTTCTGTGGATAGCAAGGAGTTGCCACTTTTTCCAAAGCTCTTTAGATATCCAAAAGCAAAAAGACTTGAGAAGACTTGTATCCCACTTCACCCAGAGGCAAATAGGAGGTCTCTTTGTTGAGACAGTCAAACGTTTTAAATGCATATTACAAAGTGTTAACAAGCTGTTGAACTGTGATTATGAGCCTAAATGAGAATTTAGTTGGATCTTCATTTCTATCATACCACTACTAACATGTAGGATTTGAAAAAGTGAAGAAGCGAAGGGCACCATGGCATATTTTTTCTACTCCACTATTTCCATTTTAATGAAACTGACATAAAATGGTATTTATAATGACTGTGATTGGATTCTAACATTTGCCTTATTTGCAAATTTCCCATCAGAGAAGATTGCTTCTACCCTTTAACTGAGAGAGCTTATTAACAATCTTCCCTTTTTAGAACTATGGACATTTAAGAACAGGACTCCTACAAATGCAAAAGTAACTCACTCTTTTTCTGTATGATGAAGTCACAGATCTCATGATACTGGGAAAGATTGCCAAATGCTCTGACAGCCTCCACAACTCCATCCATACTGCTGCTCATTAACAGCTTTAAAAGCACTATTGGTTTGCAGAGAAATGAAATAAAAACAATTACTTGTATATCACAAACGTGCTTGGCTTTTTATCAATAAATATCAAAACACAAACAGCAACAGCAATAAATGTAATAAATGGGAACAGTTATGTATCTGCCTGGTTGCAGTGAAGGGGGTGAGCTGATGGTAGAACAAGAGCTAAATTCTGTAGGGCTTTTAAGATGAGACAAAGAGTTCCAATGTGGGGCTAAATGCAAAGGGAACAAATGAGTAGTTATGAAGACAGCCTACACACAGTGGTAATAATGGGAGCCAGTTTTGCTATACAGTTTTGAGTGGGCTTATGTGAAAATCCAGGAAGACAAAGAAGAAAAAAAATGTTGTAATATATAAGAGAATTGATTTAGAGCCTGAACAGATGGTCTTATGGTGGGATGTCTCCTAAAACTCAAATTATTCTCTGACTTCAGCTCAGTGCTGCTACAACAAGCAAACACATTTTCTCTGAACAGGGCTACTTAATAGTGCCCCGGGTCTGAAGTATTTACTTGCTTGCTGCTTTTCTGCTTAAGCAGTTACACGTATGATTAGTGTGTAACTTCAGCAGATAGAATAAGATCTTTAGTACTTCCTAGGAAAAGCCACTATCATGTAGCTTTTCGATGCACAGCAAAGGAGCAATGTCACAGGAGTTACATTTATCAGTCTTCTGTGGGCATGAAGTGAACCACTGAAACCAGTTTATAGTGTAAAGGACTCAAATCACTCAATCTTTAACCCTTCTACCACAGAAAAGCAAGAGAAAATAAAATAGTAGAAAAAAATGTTGGCTTCGCTCCCATTATTTCCATCTTTGAATGATGCAATACTGAACATGCCTTGTACTTGTCTTAAAGAGACATCTGAAATGACTCTTTTTTTCTCTTTGGGATCCACCATTTGTATCAAACAACAGGTATTCTCAAAATGTCTCCTGGAGGAGGAAGCCTGCTGGTCTTCCATTAAAAGGCTTTCTCTCTCCTCAGTTCAGGCAGAGAAAAAGTGATGGGGCTGTTTCCACAGGCTAACAATAAAAACAGGAGAGGGAGAGCAAATAGGACAGGCAGAGAAGTCATTTGTTTCCACATTTCTCCAACTAGCAATAACAGACAGTTAGCTTATGGTGATAAAATGACTCATGATAGAATAGCAGAATGTTACCTAAAGAAAATCTGGTATCGACCACACAGGGCACTAAATTGACAGAATATCTTTTTTAATTCTTCATTCTACCTGTTGTGTGAATTTCAGGCTCCATTTCTCCCCCATGTTTTGTCTATTTAGAGAGAAAGGTATGCAAGACATAGACTCTACCTTCTATACAACTTTAACATGAGCCCCAGAACTCAGATGCAGTTCCTATACACCACTAAAATATGACTTTTGTCTACTACTGTCAGAGGGGAGAGAATCATACAACTCCTACACTGCCAATGGATTTACAAGCCAGAAATAAGACATAAATCAGATTTTGTGGGTCTAGAAGGTACTAAGAAGAAAAAAACCCAAAACTTTTACTATACTCTGACAAGAAGTAAAAAGCAACATGATTATTTTGGCTCAGGCATATGGATTTTGAACAAGCCTAGCAAAAATTGCTAAACAGAAAACAATATGGCAAATTCCTTCCAGGAAGTAAAGAAGGGCTTTTGTCAACAACCTAGCTATTTTCGAACAAGTCACAGAACTATGTTCCAAAAGAATAAGAAATCATTATGGGAAGAGTTTAGCCCTATGAAGTTTATATTCATGCACTATGATACCACAAAACACTAGCAGTGTCTTTATTTCCTGTAGTGTCAAAATATTTCCACTTTCAAAAAGCTATACATAAAGTACTAGTTTGAAAGGTCTTACTTTCAGCAATGCGTAGCTTTTTGTCTTGAACAGCAGAACTCTTCACTTTGTAGTAGGATAAATTGTTGATTGTTGTTGCAGCATTGATGACCAGCTCCTCACACTCATCAACTGACTTGTATTCTGAGAGTGAAAAAAACCACAACAAACATGAACATATGCATATGCAGATACACACAGATGAGTCTAACTTAGCTGTACATTTTATCTCAGAAGCAAGCTGAATCATAGTTTACATGGCCACTATTACAGACAGCTATTCTGTTTTGCAGTAACATGGCAGAAGCTAACAGGAACAGCTGATCCAAAAATGGCAATACAAAGTTACTCTTTCCAACTCTTCATCTGCAGAAATCATTGTGACTAAGGCAACATGGTTTAAAATCTACTTAGTTAAGACATTTTACAGATTCTATCTGCTGTTTTAAGATGTAACTGGGGAGAATCCACATGCAGAAATAGGCCTGTGTGACAGTCACAGACAAATACCAAGGACTATTATACTGAAGTGTCAGGTACCATGAAAAACTGGAGGAAAAAAAAAAAATCTTTAACAGTATTTTGAAAGATTCTTTCTCTCAGAGTTGCTAAGAGAATATTAAACAGTGTAAAATCTACAGCAGCAAGTGTGAAAGTTGCGTATACCAATTAATCTGAGGTTTCTGGCCTCAGAAACCAAGAGTGAAGGAAATAAAAAGAAGGTTAAGTTCATAGGGAGAGAGAATGTTTGATAGTAAACTGATAGAGCGCTTAAGAAGAGAGGAGGGTGGCAGAGAGAAGCTTTGAGGCTCAAAAGCACTTACACAATGATTAAGACAGTTCCAGTGAAGGAAGCTCCTATATGGATTAAGACAGAAAGGACAAAATCGTAAGTCTGCCTTCTCTAACTCCCCATGTCTGGTGGGTATGACTGGTAAGCTAGCATATAATGAGGTTGATTGTCTTTACATAATATTTAATGCTCTCATCACATCCTAAAATACACTAAGTTATTTGTGATGTATCTTGTCACTGCTAAACTACAGGGAGAACAGGCTGCCCAGTCCTAGCCTGTAATTAGATTTACAAAGGGTAAGCAGTAAAGGAACTGCAGTCCTAAGCCTTCATGTGTGGGGAAAGGGACATTTTCTTCTGCCTGAAAGAGATAAAAGTGGGAAATTTGAAAAAGAAGAAAAAATAAGAAGAGGCTGAAAGTTATGGGTACAGGGAACAAAAAGAATACTTAATCCAGAACCGTCATGAAACCTGCAAACCTTAAAAAAAGGAACCACTACCAAACACATCTCCGTAGCACCTGATAAGAACAGACTTCCCTTACTATGAACTCTCAGAGATGTATTTAAAGTAAAGCTTGTTCTCTCATCCTTAATGATCATATCTGCAAACCTAATCACCGAATTAAACATTTTAACATCTTTCCCCAGAAACTGAAAAGTCAGTAGCAAAGCAGCAATGCTTCCACTGTCTCAAACAGGCTTTCTACATAGAACAGTTCATGAATATCAGCAGACTGACTTTGTTACTTAGCAATGGAACCAATTTAGTTCCAGATCAACCTAGATAAGAAGGTCAAGTAGAAAAATCCAAAACTCTTCTTATAGGCTGAACAAAGGTAACAAACACAACATAGATTTTATTACCTAGTACAGTAACAAGCAAATCTACAACATGATGGGCAGCTGCCAGAGCTGCTCCTATGCTGGGGTGAACGGAGAGATTGGCCAGCACTCTTATCAGTTTTATCAGAACATCTTCTGCTTCTGAAGGATGCTTTGGGTGTTTTTTTCTTTCTCGTCCTCTTTCTTTGTGCCATTTCTGTGCATTCAAATCGAGTTCATGGTAGGTTTGGAATAATGACTTCAAGGTGTTCATGCTTCCTTTTTCTTGAAAAAATTGCTCACGGGCCTGGTCATTCTTTGCTGTTAAATTACCAAGAATGAAAAGAATACGGATAACCAAATCCTGCAATAAAATAAACAAACCACATTACACAGAGAACATCAGAAGCTATTAGCTGCTTAAAAAGAAGATACTACTTAATTTGCTTCACGATTCACTTACTAGCAGGTCCAGAACAACTGAAGGAATGCCAAATACAGCAACTAGAAATAATTTTTATGCTACTATTTTTCATAAACCAGTTTACAGAAGAAATCAAAAACATCTGACAGAACTAGTATAGGATTGGGGTAGTTACTAATGGGATATACTTAGTATAGGTCATCTATTTTTACCAAGCCCACAGTAATCCTAAAACATCTTAGAACAGCACTTTATATAACTAGAATAATTATATGGGCCAGAGCTCATTAATCTTTCAAGTAACCAAGTGTCAGTTAGGATGGCCAAAGACCACCACCTTCTTCTCTAGGCCTTCTTCTCTAGGCCTGTTACCCATTGTAGAGGTTAAACCACTTCCCCTTGATTTGTTACATCCTTGTTAGCTCTTGCTCTTTTCCTTGTTAAGTCTTACAAATAGCTGAATTATTTGTCCCGGATTTTTACCAGAAATGTAATCTAAATTGACTGGTTTGTTATTCCCCAGTTTGTCCTCTTTCTTCTTTTAAAGACAGGAGCCCTACAAACTTGCAATCCTACATAACTTTACAAGAATCCCAGAGACATTACCCTTTCTGTCCTTTTGTAAGCACCAAAGGGTAAATTTCATCAGGCCTAGCTGGTTTGAAGACACTTAATTATGCTGCAGCTCATTTTCTAGTGATAAAATAACTCAGGCTGAAGTAAAGATTAATCATTTGATCATACTTCACCCTTTCAGAAAAAGAAGCAGAAAAAGGCTTCCACACTTCACTATTCACAGCGGCATCTGCCAATAATCATCTGAACACTGCAGCAATTATTTCCTTATTTTCTTCTCACAATTAATGTACCATAGAAAGCTTTTGTGTTTCTTTTTACGTCCCTTTCAAGTTGCATCTCATTTTGTGCTTTGTTTTTTCTGATTTTGATTTTACGTGTTCTTGCTACCCTTTTATTCTTATGACTGCTAAATGAGACCTATTTCTATTTTCATACGGTTATCTCAAAATCTTATGATTTAACCAAGTTGCTCTCTTAAAGCACTTTCCATCTCTGCCCTTCAGTGGGATACAGAATTACATCCCTTGTTGCTTCCTTTTGGACATACTGAAAAATGTATTCAATAGGATCCAACTACATGGCCATCTTTTTCTTACCCACCTGTATGGAAGAAGAAAAAAATAAAATTTTGAAGTCTGAACTAACTAAAAATATTTGCCTTGGTCACTTGCATCAAAACCTACTCATTTCACAAAAGAAAAGTCCGTAGCTTTATCTTAACAGTACAGGTAAAGCAGCACCATTTCCTGAAGTACAGCACAGCCATCTACTCTTAGCTACTAAAGTGCTGTACTTGCACTAACTTAGAATTTTGCTAAACAATTCACATGCTGTTTTTCTTCAAATGTAATTATTTTGACAGATGTTCTAACCCTCCATGGTACTAGTAACGTAAGTTAACCAGGCACAGTCCAGCTTGTTGAAGTATACATACTAATACTGAAGGAAAAAAAGATGTCTAAGCAGTGAATCCTTCTCTCATACATGCCTTTATCAATAAGTTTCAGGTCTTAAGCCTCTGCCACAAGAAATTGGCAATAACATCCTCTTAGGGTCACAAAGTTGAATGCTACCCCTGAAAATGAGAAGCAGGCAGTCTCCTAAGTGAGGAAAAGGTTCTCACTTATTCCACAGGACCCACTTTTTCTCTCTTTTTTTTTTAACTAGGCATCATATTTTTGCTAGCATCTAAATGTCATCGAGACAAATTTTTATGAACATTCTTACTGACTAACCACTAAGAGCTTTCACCTTTGCTGGCACAACCCCCAATTCACAAAGGCTATAAGAATTTGAAACAAACAACTGATGAATCAGAAGAGAGAACTGAAAAAAGCAGGCAGTCTAGTTTGACTCGTTTATATTGACTTTCTAATTTTGGTCAAAACAGTATCAGCCCAGCAACAGCTCTACCCAATCAGAAAACAGACAAACAGGTACCGTACAGCAATCAACTGATATTTTGAGAAGTGTGATCTCAACTGTGCTTTCCACCTACAGGCTAGCAAAACAAACTTATAAAGTACTTCTTTTTAGCTAAGCACATCCGGTTTTCATAGCACATTACCGAAGCTTCATTATCTTGCAGTGAAAATTTAACTTGCAGTGTCAAAGAGAAAAAAGCTGGTACAACTTCTCCTGAGTAGTATAATACTTCAGGTTTTGTATTATTTTTAGCTATGTATTTTTTAAATGCTCATTGGTAAGCACTACAAGATCACGAAACACCAGCTTTGAGTTGCTGTATATAGAAATACATGTAAAAATGAATGGCATTCTGAAACTGCTTGCAAGACTAAACCTGTACAAGGCCCATAGGCCTTTCTGTACATAATGAAATAAATCAATATAATAAATGAGTTTATTATGCATCTCCAAATGTTTGGAATATTAACTGCATATGGAATTTCAGACATTCTTGCACACTTACAGATGAATTAGATTTATCATGTTAATTTATATATTGTAGAGGTTTTAACATGTAGGTCACTAAAGACAAATTAGATTAAAGATAGGAATTACACTCAGTCATTTCATCTTTTTATAACAAAGCATTCATGTGTCCAGAGAGTGCTGTCCAGAGAGTGTACCCAAACCTGACTGGAAGGTTATATACAAGACCATATAGTTTGAAGAAACATGTCAAGAAAAGCCTGAGAAGAACTGATTGTTTTCTTTGCTTCCAATCTGCAAAGCCATTGTGATATTTTTGGTTTTAAAGTGGTAATGGCACCATATATTTCATCAGCATTTAACACTTATTTTTCTGACAACTGGAACATACACACTTGATCACTGATACGAAAGATTTCTTTGCTTATCTACTTCCACAAATCTTCTCCTTGCACTGCTCTAGTAGCTAAGGTACCCAATGTGCTTGCTGAGTCACAGAACTTGACATCAGTTTATCTTGGCAATTAAAAGTGTACCTGCCTTTTCGTGTAAAGCATGATGAACAGAGGTACAAATAGTACAGGTTTGCTTATCAGTAGGAAAGGAAAGCCAATTAGGTCAGTAATTTTTAACTAAAACAAGATAAATAAGGGAAGGGAGTCCATTCTAGAGTTTGTACAAGTTGGCCAAGTACCTGTTGTTAGTCTATTTGGTGGCTGACCCTCAGAAGGGGAAGAGTAGTGTGATAAAGGAAAATACACTGATGCCAGCAGCTGAGTTCCTATTGAATCTCTATCTCTAAATGAAATGTGCTTTCCATGTTACACAAACTTCAATGGAGGTAGTCAAAATTCAGTATGAACTGCTTCTCATTCAAATCTAACTTACACTTCATTTTCAAATTTGTATTTCTACTTTATTATGTACCTTGGAAAGAAAATCTGAGTTTTCTTTGCAGGATCTGATAGTCTGCTTACAGACAAAATGACAGTAGTTATGGCATCCTGGAGCTAATCTCTTACAAACACAGCAAGGATTCATCTTGAAGTGACAAACTGCCTGTGAAAATTCCTGGTCAAATCCAGAAATAACAACTGACTCAAAATGAAAACTCAATTTCAAGAAGAAAAAAGGAGGGGTGGAGTAGGGTGTAGAACACATTGGAAGTATCGAAAGCAAATGAAGTTCTTGACTGAGGGACCTGAAATAAGAAGCAGAGAGAAGCAGCATGTCCACAGTGATAGCAGGGAGTACTTTGTCAGTAAAGAGGGAATCTCCCTCCCCTGCAAGTATGAATGCATCTGAGGAGAAGAAGAGGCCATTAGAAGAACGTAGTTAAATTTCTGCATATCATACACCACAATTGGGACCCTACCCTATAATTTCATACACCCCAAAATATTATCTATTTAGTTAGACTTTTCAGAAAAGGGTTCAATTGCACTTAGTGATTTTTAGCAATGAAGAACTCGTGCACTTATGTTTGTTTGAGGACATGTGGAGGTGAAAAAAAAGCAGGCAAATTGTCACCAAAACATTTGATGAAAAGCAACAAACACTCTCTAAAAAAACATTTCAAAAATCATGAACTGAAAAAGAAGTTGAAAACTGTATCTCTCCAGAGTATTGCTCAAGTGATTACCGATCTCCCTCATTAAAATCATTATTCTTATTACTAGCTTAAATTTGTACAGTTTCAGACACTCTTTTCCCCTTTTTTCCTATAGAATGGTCTACTAACAGAAAAGTCTTCCTTGTGGATTCTACTAATAAACAACTTGCTAATGGTCTGACTTTTGTCATTGATAAATTAATTTGCTTAATCTTGAGTTGTTTTTTTTTTAACACATATTATTACTTAAACTCTTTTCAGAGCTGTTCTAAATCCTTCAACATGTTTTGGAGAAATTAATACCAAAAAAACTATGGCAAAATATTTTAGTGAAAGTGTCTGTCATACCAAGCACTAACATCTTGTTATTTTTATCTGATATTCTAATGCTTACCTATCTAGTAACTACATTCATTCTCTTGTATCTTTTGATACATCAGAACAGCAGGTTTCTGTATGATATATGCCAGTGAAGGCTGCTTGACTACAAACTCTGAGTTCTGCATTCCTGAGCATTTTATATTCAGAGTACACATCACATATGCTGAGTTTTCCTTACCACCTTTGCCTTTTCTTTCACACATACAAAAAAAAAACAAACCCAAAACCAACAACAAAAAAACAAAACAAAACAAGCAACCAACCAACCCAACCAACCCAAAACAACAAAGCCGCTACAACCAAAGTATTAGGAAGATGCAAATACAGCATGAGCTCAGCATACTGTCAGAAATCATTCTGCAGGGAAAGGGTGACCTTCTGTGTTTATTCGGATTTATCAGCAGGGAAAATCCTTCAGAGTTGTCAGAATATTTATCCTAAAATGGCTAATTCCTTTTGAAAAAAAGTTAATTCA